GTGTTGCTTGCACTTAATATTTAAACATGCATGGCCAGAATCTTTGTTTCATTACTTTAGGTGTTGTAATCTGAAGTGCCATTGCTCAGGCCTTATTAACCATCATTTATTTGATATCTAAGTGAATATTGTTGAGAAAATTAATGTTCTCCCTGTATAATTTATGCATAAAAATGTTACATGAAGCTCTTGTTATAGTATCATGTCTGGCCTGGTTCTTGTTTTTTTTTTTTTTTTTCAGTTTTGGGTCATGTGCTGAGCAGAGTCTGGCTTATGAAAAACCCTAGTTGGATCCAAGCTGGTGTCCTTGTTGTGTCATATCTAGTCCTGTTTATTTCTCTGTCAGGAATCCTTCTCACCAATCTCGTTCACTGTTAATAGTCATATGCGTCAGATTTCTCTTAAAGTTGCGCCATCCATCCCATCTCATTTGTTTCCTTTTTTCAATATGCAGTAATATGTTGTTAGCATCATTTTGTAGGCCCACTTTCCCATGTGGATGATAGACATGCTGTTTAATTGTCTTATAAGATCAAAAGAGCACAGTTTCATTAAAAATGTGAAGGTATTTTAATGTTGCATTTAATTTAACAGATAAAGATATGTGAAAACAGATCTGCACTATCCTGCAAGCACCATGTACCCCATTATGACCAAGCCTCTGTTGTTTAGATGCAGATTAGAAAGAGCAATAATAAGTTATTCATGGTTTGTGCTGTTGAAAAATTAAAGTTCTTGACACAGATGATTTGTTTTGATATGTTGTTGTTGATGAATCATAAAACGAACAGTTCCCTGGAATTGAAAATATGGAATTGGGGCTGATTTCCTTTTCAAAAAGGATTAAAAAAAGATTAATCTCATAGTTGGTTATGTGTTTCGGCTTGAGTTTCAGTTGTGACATTCTGACCTAATTTCAGCCAGACCTGAATGATAATAGTAATAATAAAAATTACCTTACTGCGATGGACTGGTGACCTGACCAAGGTTTTTTCTCCCCGCCTCTCACCCGTAGACAGCTGGAGATAGGCACCAGCATCCCTCGTGACCCCACTTGGGATAAGCGTGTTAGAAAATGGATGGATGGATGAAATTACCTTAACAGAATTTTAAAAGCTTGCAGTTGGCCAAAATATTTTAAAAAGGCAACACAACATGCATCAATATAAAGAAACTGAGTCACTGATAATTCAATGGTTTAAAAGCCTCTTAAATGACTCCAAAGGTGCTGGTAACCCACCCAGGAGCTCCAAGAGAAGCTGAATAAGATCCAATAAAAGGTCTCACTTAGGCTAATGTTCATGATTTAATGATAGGAATAGAAAGGAACCTTTCACACTGACACGCAGAACATCTGTTCCAATAAATTTCTGTCTAAGGACTAACGAGACAGCTGTTTGGCCTGTTGCTGGATGTAAGTATGAGAATATTCTGAATAAACATGTCTTTCCATTAGTTCGCAACCTTCAGCTCAAACACGCTTTTATTTTGCCGATTATGCCCCTTTGTCATACCCCCAAGTCCAGCTCTGAGTTCCTAAAAAAAAAAGTTTTAAATCAAATTTAGATTATTTGGTTTAATGACTGAATATATTTATTTATATTTCTATGAAGGAGAGCAGGCCTTAATTCTTCTAGAGGGATGTAGATGACACATTACTACAAAACTGATGGCAGCTGTTGCTTCAAAAAGGGAGACAAAACCAGTGCTTAGGTTTAAGGCACAATAGCCTTTTTCACATAAGAACAGTTTTTGATATCCCTTGTTCCTTGATAAATTAAATAATAATTTCAGGATTTCTACTCAGGTTATCTTGTTGGTTTTTATCAACAATAGAGCTGCAAATATCAGATGTTACTCCATTTGAACTGAAACTTGTAATTGTAAGGAAAAAGAAAAAAAACAACCCTGTTAGGGGTCAATACTTTTACCTAAGAAAAGAGATTATATTGTATTTAATGTTATATTATTTTTTATTCTGTTTCAGGTATATATATTTAAAAAAAAAAACATACTGATAAATAATTTTTTTTTGACAGAAACTTTCTTGACCTATCTGGAACTTTACCTTCTACAACCTGCTATTCCCAGTTTGTTGTTACTTTAAAATTCAAATACATCCGAGTGTGATCAATCATTTATTGCCAAACTGCTGTCAATTCTCTCCTTAAGGAGGAAAAGAAAAAAATATATATCTGAACTTTTTTTATATTTAGAAGGTTTGGTTTGGGAGTAGCGACCTAGTGGTTAGGGCATAGAGTATGGAATCCCGAGGTTCTGAATTTGAGCCCCACTTCCACAGACTGCCACTCTGGGTCCCTGAGCAAAGACACTTAACCCCACACTGCTCCCTGTGCGCTGCACAACGGCAGCCCACTGCTCCTCAAGGGGATGGGTTAAATGCAGAGGTAAATTTCTCCAATGTGAGATCAATGACGTTTAGTTATTATTTAGAAGAAATACACTACATACAGTCCCAGTTTGATAGTTGCAGAATTAGGTGCAAAAACAAACAAAAAAACAAGTCTTTTTTTAAGTATAAAACAAATATGTTAATAATTTAGAGGTTGTATTCATTTATTGTATCCACTTAAACAAAAATATTTTACTTAATTTATACTTAAATAATATATTATATGTTAAAACCACAATCTCATGATTTTTTTCAGTTTTGTAAGAGACTTGGGTTTGTGTATATTCCTTTTTGTTTGTTTATTTTTATTTTTTATTATTCAGATCTGTCTTACAAGGCCATAAATATTTGTTCAGTAGTATGGTCAGGCAGGTTAAAAGCATTCATAAAAACAGATAAAGGGGCTTAAACACAGAAAAGCAAGAATCCAGCACTCCAGCAAATTCAGTAACTGTAAACAAACATCCTACAGTCCTCCACACCCCACAGGCAGCGTATAATATAACCCAATGAGAAACCAGGTACAGTATTTATAGTACATAACAGCAATCATACGTCCTCCTGGGTCCACCTTTTTATGATCAAGTAAATCAATTTCAATTTGATTTAACTGTAATTATTGTATAACATTATGTCATATATTTGTATCACCTCTGTTATATATTTCTTTTGATACGGCAATAAATTGTTCAGGTAAAAGAATTGCTTGCTCATAATTTTTAAGCTAGACAAACTCTGGTTCAACTCCAAGACTTTGTTGGTTAATTAAATTTTCTTAATAAGGATGTGTCCAGAAACATGTATGTTATATTGCAAATATAAGATATAAGTGTGTGGTCTGAGAAAAAGACAAACGTTTGGCATCGTAAAGTCAAAAACATTTTTTATAAAAGTCCCCAAGTGGTGATGAAGCTTTCAAGCATTTTGATGCATTGCTTAAGTTTAGATCAGTTAAGAAACTGAGAGAAAGTTGAGGAGATTTTTCTGCAGTAACTTATGGATGATTAATAGATACTGAACTACTACTTATGACAAACTGGCTACATGTTTAACTGTTTATTCTACTCCAAATATTTGATATTAAAATTACAAAAAAATCCTCTTAGTATCTGTATTTTACAACTACAATGAGGATGATTTTCGAGGAAACATTAACAAACATCATTCCCCGTCATCATCTTAAAGAAAAAAAATTTTTTAAAGGCTGTCATGTGGGAACTGTGATAATCTGCAACCAATGCAGTTGTAGTGTGTTATAGAAGAAGAGTTCCTAATAATAAAAAGGATCACAAAAGGTATCTGGGGTGTCCTTCCCTTGCATTGCATCTGCTTTAGAGCAGCTGCAGCAGCAGGACTCTGTGCATTGTTAGAGAGCCCTTCCAAATTATTCAATACATTTTCGAACTGCAGCAGGTGGCTTAACAGCATCAACGGCAAAACCTGATTAATGCAAAGTTGAGGAGGGCTTTTTTTGGTCATAAACTTAAAATATTAAACAGCTGTTCAGATTATAAACTTTTTTTTAATTTCAGTTTTTCCAATATTTCTAATCTATTTTATAAAGTGTCTTGTAATATAATCTTATATTTAACAAATTTACCACAACGATGTTTCTTCTTGGGATATTTTTTATGGTATACAACAAAAAAACAACACATATTTGTAAAGTGGAGGGAAAGAATTATGGGTCAGATGAGAATTGCTCATCAAGGTGAAATTTTCTCAAATATAAGGATCTCTGCAGCTCCTCCAGAGATACTAGAGGCCTTATCGCTGCTGCTTTGTTTTCATTTGATCTTGTGATTCATATTTAAGCCCAGCTTTAAACTTTTTTGTACATCTTCATCCCTGATCTGTCTGCTGTTTAAAATCCATCACAATACTGTTAAAATAAAACTACAATTGACATGTTGCTCAGATTATATTTCAGTTTCAATCAGGCTTGCACAAAACAGATTTTTGTTTAGACAGTTTTTATAACTCATACATTCTTTGCAACATGGAACCGAATAAAATACAATACGGTTTATGAGTGCACCTACATAAAAAAGAGGACAGATACCTCAGGGGTTTTTATATTTGTGGTTATGCCAATTTATTAAATTACTCTAATTGCATCATGAAAAAAAGAGCTGTTTACATGGATAATTGCTTATATTTGATTGTTCATTTTTTTTTCCTTTTTTTGCACAGAAATATGTTTAATCAAAAATAGACAGTGAGTCAGAGATTTCACCCAGCTTTTAATTTAACACTAATCTCGTTGTTTTCGAGCGAATTTTAAATCAACAAAGCCCATCACGTCGCTAGACGCCGAGTCTCCTAAAAAAAAAAAAACTGCAGGCCCCCTAGACGAGCCATCTGGCGCTCTGTAGTAAAACAACAAGCCCCGCCCCTTTGCTTACATTCTCCAATGTGCCATAGCAACCAGGGCCGAGCCCCCTGTTCCCGCTTAATATTCCCATCCTTATAAGGCCAGTCGAGCTCAGACGCACGCCTACGTCACACGTCACTTATGTAAATAGTTTGATTGAAGAAAAAGAAAAAAAAATGAGGGGGCCCTGCGCACTACTCTGAAATGGAGGTGTGGATGTGACGCATGCGCAGTGGCTTCACAACTCTCCAGTCCCGTCCTCAAAGCTCAGACATCAACAAGAGCCGCTTTACTGATGCGGGTTGGTTTTCCTAATACGCTCTTTAAGGATATCTGCTTTGCGTCAGCTTCACCAAACTTTCATCAAGGTAACGTCTGCGAACGGTTTATATTTGTTTTGCTGTGTTTAATTACCTGGTTTGTTAAGTATTTGTTGCGCTTAGAGATGTGAAATAAAAGATAAGCTTGGAGTTGTCTCCGAGCAATTGATGTTTTGTAGGTAATTTTATTGATGACTCAAGTGAAAGTGGAAAAAGGATGGAGAAGAGGGAAAGCTTTATATCAGATGCAGACATAAGAAGCAAGATTGTGGCTGTTGTTGTTGGTGCGTTCGGCTGCGTGAGGGAATCACTAATTTAACCACTAATGCAATTTATTTAAAGTTGAATTTTGCATCATTTTATAGTTCGGATTTTTCAAAACAGCACTGTAGGGCAGTTTGTTGAATTTGAGCGTATTTTGTTGAGCTTTACATTGATGCCAAGTTGAATCCTTCACGCCCACCCGGAGTAGAGATGCGTCTCAACACGCGGCGCCACTGTCAACAAAACGCCTCCTGTTAAACACATACTGTCCGTGAACGCACCGTGGAGCTCAAACTCCCTCAAAAAACTGTTTAGAGCGAGAAACATGAATAGAAACCGACTATAAGAAGATAGAAGCTTTGAACTTTGCGCACATGTTTAGTTGGACGAGGGCAGTTGCTGTGACGCGGCTGTGGAATAACAAAGAGTTAAGATCAAATTACACGTTTTTAACGAAAAAATGCCCTTTATTCCGGCTCAAAGTGGGATAATTTATTTCGAAGAGGTGTTACTCTCAGTTTTTTAGCTCGCAAGAAGTTCAAGTGAGGAGGGGAAGTCGGGCATCGTCGAGTGGAGGACGGTCATCATAAAATGGGTGCGCAAGAAGCAGGTCGTGTGGCATGCCATGCTTCCTCGCTGTAGAGTGGGCGGTGAATTTTTTTCAGCGACGTATGCTTCTCCTTTGGTATAAAATGAGCGAGTCTCTCAGTTTATGAAACATTAAGGTGTTATTAAAGCACGGGCGATAACTTTCAGCGGGGTTTGTTGTAATTAATTTGTTAACATTTAAGCTTTTGCTGAAAATCGCATCACACCCCCTTCTCCACATTGCCTCCGCCTTTGAATTGTGTTGCCATGTTGACTTACGTCACGTACTGTATTTTGCTGCAGAGATCGTGTGTGGTTAAAGACGGCCCACGGGAAGAGGAAAAACATCTACCTGTAGACTGCTGCAAAGAATAGCCTGCTGTTGTAAAGAAAACCATTATATTATACTAAAATAATTAATTAATATTATTAAAACAAATGGCGTGTCATAATAAAGGATTCCATTTTTTCTCATTCAGTTATATTCCCCAGATTTGGTTTTGCTGCCCTGAACTTTATTTTACCTGTCTATATTTTATTTGCATTTTGAAACAAAATTACCCTTCCTTAGAAACTATACAATTCAAGTCTGGGTATTGGCACCATGCATATTTAATGCTTTGAACTTCCATATCAATGCGGTTTTTGCACCAGTTTTTTTTTCTCCCACACTGATTATATTTGATCACTGCTGCACTTTAAGGAATGGAAATGTTCTGAAAGCTGTACAAGTAGTTTTGTATACACTCTGCATATGCAAAATGACAGCAAAAATTCTCTAAGTCAAATTAGTAAAGACATTTATAAGCAGTGATTATAGTAATAGTTCACTGATCTTCAATCAGTTTACAGATGATCAAAATACTTTGAGTTGATACAAAAACTATATGACATATCTCCTAATGCATAAGGAGGAGCCGGCTTACTCTTTTAATTCCCTTTCTTTAGAAAATGTAAAATGTATCATAGAACTAGCAGCACTTACAAACATGTAAGTTTGCAATTAATTAATTGAATAAACTGCTGATTTGAAATTAATTATTGGAATAGTTTATACGGATTCTTCACAAAATTAAGAACACTACAGACAAACCGTGACTAACCTGATTCCAAAGGATGTCAAACGATGGCTAAGGCTGTGTCTGGATGTTCGGAGAGATGTCATTTTATAGGAGTGTTCGAATAGATGACGTGTTGTGAATTGGCACTATATAAATAAACTAAACCGAATTGAATATGTTGTGGAGGAAAAAACAGTGGACTCAACATTTCCCACAATACACCTTCAAAAGTAGTGATCATCCATGGTCACTAGATGAGCAGATATCTCCCAGAATGGGATATATCTGGGAGAATGAGAGAGGAAAAAGATGGCACAGGCAGGGTAGCCTGAGTCACGTGACCATCAGGGAGCAACTTAGTGCACTATAAAGCCCACTATATAGTCCCAGCTCTTTATAGTGATTCAGGGATTTGGGCGAACATTGTCTCTTTAGTCAGAGGCTTCTTACAATCCGCTGCAAGACAGACCACTACAGAAGATCCTTCCTGCCTAAAAATATTGACATATACAACATCTTGTTAAAAAAAAAAAATCAGTTAAATAAACATTTAATTTCCCTTTGGGATCAATAAAGTGTTTTTGCAATTGTTGCATTTGAATTAAAACCTCAAAACGATGTTGGGAATATAATTGCCCAGGATACCCCATTAGGTAATGCATTGCAAATATTTTTTTACGTATTCGGTTTGGTATCATTTAACAAGATTTAGCATCCAGCGCAAAACGTTAAAAAATAACCAATTATCAACATCTGCTGGTGTGTTAAATCAGCAGCAGAGTGAAAGGTCTTTGAATTTTTCTCATCTCTGCAGCTCTCCGTGTGGCAACGCACTGTCAGAGGACCCCCAGGAATGATGGCAGAAAAAAAAAAAAGAAAATCCAGTCTGGGAGGCGCGGCTCCCAGTTTTGCCGCAGTTGGTCCACATGTGTAATGGGAGATTACATTTTGCCTAGCAACATAAATCAGCGCACACTTTTGCATGTTGCGCGCTTATAGGTGTTCCAGTCTCCTGCTGCAGACACGCTTTCATCCAGCATGTTTTTCTTCTCCGGCCAAAAAAACAAAAAACAGTTATTAAATATCCCGGTGATATGGAAGCGTAACATTGCATGATGTGCAGCCTGGTGCGTGCCAGGAGTTTCTAAAACGTTGCGTGAATCCAGTGAGCGCAGCATGGTGACATTATCTGTCTGACACGCTGTCTGACTGTTGACCTACTTCCACCATGTGGGTCACAGCAGAGTGATGCTTCACTAATATCTCTAACTATTTATTATGTTTATTATTAAATACATTTTTAATGAATTATGATAATCCTGAATTTTTTTAAATGTTATTATTTAAGTTCTAGCTGTGCAGCATTGCAGTCTATATAAAATGCACAGTGATGATGAGCTGTTAATATTGAAATATCTGTGTGTGTATGCAGATGTTTGGCTTTCATAAGCCCAAAATGTACCGGAGTTTGGAAGGCTGCTGCATCTGTCGGGCCAAGTCCTCCAGCTCCCGTTTCACAGACAGCAAACGATATGAGAAGGACTTCAGGAGCTGCTTTGGGTAAGAGAAGCACACCTGAACACGGCCTCTTTTGTGAGGACTTGCTGCATCTTTATTGTTTTGTTGTTGTTGTTGTTTTTTTTGTGTGTGTGTGGAATTGCAACCCAAGTTGAAAAAAACGAACTGTTTTTGCAGCTTGAGTGAAACCAGATCTGGAGAAATCTGTAACGCCTGCGTCCTCCTTGTGAAACGGTGGAAAAAGCTACCAGTGGGAACCAAGAAAAACTGGAACCATGTGAGTCCTGGGGACTCTGGGGTATCTGACATTATAGTTCCAGACTTAAGTATGAGGAGGTTTTTACGTTTTAATGGATCAACCAACACACACCGGTAGAGGCAAAGATTCAACATTTTTAATTATGTTTTTTTTTTTAAACATGGTAATATCTCTAAAGTTTATTAAAGAACAATAGTAGGCGAACGGTGTTGAGAAGTTCAAAGCAGGATATCTTATATAAGAACATTCCAAACTTTGAGCATCTCTAAGAGAGCTGTTTCATCAATTGTTTTCAAATTTAAAATCTACCAAGAAATGTCCGTTTTAATTGGGAGCTGTAATGAAGAAAGCCTTAATCAGAGAAGAAGCAGCTTCAAAGCTGATGGTAATTCTGGGGGGAACAGCAAAACAACTGTTATCTTTACGCTCAACACATCAGGTTACATGCTAAACCTTTATGTAAAATATATAAGACAGGAAACTATTAGTTTGCATCATTCCTCTACAGATAAATGGAGGTGGCAGCATCATGCTGTGGGGGGAGCTTTTCTATGCAGAAGCAAGGAAATTGGAAAAAGAGTAATTCTTCAAACAAAAAGCCATTGGAGATGGTTGTAAATAACTTTAGTATGGGTTTCAGATAATTGATAGTAGAGACTTTGGATTAATAAAAAAACAAAAAATGATTTCTTGTGTGCAGGTTGTTGATGCCAGAGGGGGTCCCAGCCTAAAGATAACATCCAGGCCAAAGAAAATCAAAACCATCTCAAAGAAAGCTCGACCAAGCCAGATCAGCAGGCTGCAGAAGGAGCTTAAAAGACACAGTAAGTTTGACCAAACGCTGACACCAGGACATGATAACCAGAGTGGAAAAACAGTTTGTCAGATCTAAGAAGCTCCTGTTCTTTGTTCCGATCATCAGATTCAGACGCCCACAGCACAACGTCCAGTGCCTCTCCAGCTCAGTCTCCCAGTTACAGCAACCTGTCAGACGATGGATCCGACACTGAGCTGAGCCGGGGGTCCGGCCGCTCCCCAGTCTTCTCCTTTTTGGATCTCACTTACTGGAAGAGGTAGGTCTGATGCTACAATTGACATAAGGAAGGCCACTTATTTTGATGGTCCATCCAGAAAAAGACCTTCCTCCACTATACCTTTAAAATTTTGGAGCGTATTTATTCATAGAGCCACAAGAAAGAACTCTACTTGTCACAGATATCCTATCTTTCTTTTTGGATTATTAAATCTACTCAAAAGTAGAAAACAAAATGTAATATCAGATAAAGGTAACCGTAGAAAAGAAAACTATCCAATGCAACCTGGCTCTAAATGTAAACCTATGTTAAAACCTTTCATCAATGTGGCTGGTTTGATTGAACTGACTCGATAAAGTGCTTTAAAATGGCCTGTTTTTAATGAGTCCGGGCTGTAGAGATAAAATGAGGTGAAACTGGATTCAATTAGGCCCGAGTATTGCCAGATCCTTCAATTAATAATTAAACAGAACCTAACGGAAGACATGAAGTAGGTTTAAACAACTCATTAAATACTTAAAATTAAAATTAATGAACATATGGGGGTAAAAAATGACAAGCCACATATCTAAAAACACTTACAGAGTAGTTTTAGATTCACCGAGAGCGATTTTCAACAAGGTTCAAAAAAAGGAACCGTGTCCAACCCTCCAAGGAGTGGCTGGCTAACCAAAGTTATTCCCAGAGTGCGTTGACACTTCATTCAGGAGGTGACAAAAGAACTCAGAGCAAAATCTACGGGGCTGAAGGTCTGGTTTAAAGTCAGATAAGTATCTATAAATTAACAAATGGTGAAAAAATGCTGTCAAAGAACACATTCACAATTATCTCAAATATCTAAACTCATATCCTTTTGAAAAATATTCTCTAGACTCATGAGACAAACGCTCTTATTTTGAAGCTTATTACCTGCAGCATCAAGTGTACAGAGCATTTCAGAAGAAGAATATGATCCCTGCTGCAGTCAAACATGTTGGTGTCAGGCACTGCTTTGCTGCTTAACGACCCAGAAGATTTGCTGTCATTGATTCCATGTCACTGGAACTACAGATTCTGCTCTCTGCAAAGCATCTTGCAGGAAGATATCCAGACACCAGTTTGTGTGCTGAAGCTCACAAAAACTAAGTAGATGCAGCAGGAAAAAAATGTCTAATCAGACTCTAAAGCTAAATCCAATCGAGGTAGAATGGCATGACATCAAATAGTTTAATTAAAACGTTTATACAAAGGAGAGAACACTTCACCAGTCATTACAAGCAGTTGTTACTTAGGATCCTTTTTTCTCACATAAACTCACTAATTAATTTTTTTTTCAGGTTATCTTTTTCTAATTTCAAAATCTGTTGAATAATATACAACATTTTTGTAATTCTAACTTAAAAAACTAAATATTTTGTCTTACTATAGTAACCAATTAATAGATGAGATGGTTAAACTAGTTTATGCATGTTTCAACTATTAATTTTAAATGTATATTCAGAATTAGTCATATACAATTTGGTTGAAAGTATGGAAAAAAAAAAACCCAAAAAACTGTAGATGGACTTTTCTAAATGTAAGTTTCTAATAAAAAACCAAAAAGAACTCGACATTGAAGCTGCTTATATAAATGTAGGAGTTAACAGAAACACAGATTGGAGCTGATTATCACAGTAACATTTTTAACTGCAGCATGTTCACACACACACACACACACACACACACAGAGATTATTAGCAGCGCTGGTTTCCTTCAAAGAATCTGATTGGGCCCAACGTGTCCCGGTCTGTTGCAGGCAAAAAGTGTGCTGTGGTATAATCTACAAGGGCCGCTTTGGGGAGGTGCTCATCGACCCCCATTTGTTCAAACCCTGCTGCCGCAAGAAACAGCGACAGCAGCAGCACCAACAGGAGGAGGAGGAAGAGGAGGAGGACGAGGAGGAAGACGAGGAGGAGGAGGTCGAGGTAGAGGAGGGTCAAGTGGGGGTGGAGAAATCCCATGTGGAGGAGGAAGCAAAGAAAACGCCTACGGGTGAGGAAAATACTGAGCCTGCTAAGCTATGTGTGACAGCACCTCTAACCAGCAGTGGGGAGGTGTTGGGGGAAGGCTGGTGAAGCACCCCCTAACATTTGGCAATGCTCTGAAAAAAATCTCGGGATGGATTTCTTTTTGTTTTGTTTTTTTTTGTTTGTTTTTTTTTGTTTTTTTTTGAGCACTTACAAAAAGAAGTCGCCTCAGATTGCCTTCAATTAAAAAGCAGCTACAAACATCTTTTGTCCTCTCCAGGAAAACGTTATTATGGTTGAACTGTAACTTATGGACTTCTATGTTCTATCTGTATATTTTTTGGGTTTTTTTTGGATTCAGTGTCTTTTAACCATGCTGATGACGGACCATCATCTGTGGTGTTATTGATCTACTTTAAATGAAATGCTGGAACTCTAGTTTGCTGGTACATTTAACAGGTTTTCTTCCAAAACGCAATACATCTGCTTATTTACAGGAAAAAGAAGGTGCTACTTGAAATTTATGGCTCAACATGTTAAAGATCTGAACCTATTCTCACTGTGGATATCTTCTAAGCTTACATATTTATGCCTGATACAGGCACATCTCAATGAAGTAGAATATTAGGGAAAAGTTAATTCATTTTAGCAAATAAATAATAAAAGTGAAACTTATATTTTTAGTAGATTCATTAAACACAAGGGTAAATGTTCTTCAGTTCTTTGTTTCTGTAAATTTTAAAGGCTGTGGTTTAGAGCTAATGAAAACCTAAAATATAGTTTTACAGAAAATACAGCATGCACTTCTTCTGCTACACTTTTGCATCAGTGCAGCTTGATTTTATTTTTTTGATATTTTCAATGTTTGCTCTTTTGCTTTCCCATTTTTCTCTAATTATTATTTCTAGTTTTTAGTCAGACATGTTGGCTGGAAAGTCAAGCTCAGTGTTAAAACAGCCATATCTGTATTTATTGAAAGTGTGGCCATCGCAATTCAAGGTGGAAAGTTAAGTTTGTCAGCAGAGCAAAGCCTGAAATGATATAAATGTCCTGTAAGACTCCATCAGCAGAAGACCCAAATCATCACTGTCTGCTGAACAGAGATATCAAAAGTATTAATGTTTATTACGCAAGTAAAAGTATAAATCCTACTGTTTAAAAATACTTTTTTAGAAGTTAGTGTCAACTTCAGATTTTTATTTAAGTAAAATTGTAAAAGTAAATTTTTTTTTTAAAACTATTTAAAGTACAAAAGTAAAAGTAATGCATGAAAAACAAATGTGGAGGACAGATTGATTAATGCAGGAGCTTATTAAAGGAACATTTTTCTAAAATTCTGGACGATAACTTCCTCATACTTCTTAGTTTTATAACTAATGGCAAAACTGTCAAATTTAACTTTGCATCATCTTGAAAAACTATTCATTTTGCCATGTAGTGAATAACAAATTGGTGCAGTAAGTCCAACCGCAAAGAAATTAATTGTCCAGCTGAAACAAATTGTTTTGATGTTGTTTTTTTTTTAAATACCAACATAACATGTTGAAAACAAGCTTAAATGAAACAAAATTTAAAAAATCTATTTTTAAAATGTAAAAAGTGGAGATAATTGCAAAAAATTGTATGGAGCAGAAGTAAAAAGTTGTCTCCAATATAATTACTCTAGTAAAGTATATATAGCCAAATTTTCAACTTAAGTAAGGTAATGAAGTATTTGTATTTTGTTATTTGACACCTCTGCTGCTGAAACTTAACACTGACCCTCCACCATATTGGACTTTGTGCCTCTTCCGTCTTCCTTCAGACCTTTTGCCTTAATTTGAAAAAGGCAAATTCATCTTTTATAGATTATGATCATTCCAGTATTTCCTCTTTTAGCCCAGTTAAGACGCTTCTGGTGTTGAAGAAAAGAATTTAATAAACAAATGTCAAACCTTCTAATTTGTTTGGTCCTAAGACCGCATTATTCCTTATGTTTTACCTCATTTAACTTCCCATTAATATGCTCAGTTACAGATTTCTGTAAACAGCAGATTTAATTTAGCGAAGGTAGTTTGTGGCTTGCCACATCATAAATAGTATAAGTGACTCTATAAAAAAATAAATTTTTAACAGTCTCCTCTAACATTGAGCATTTCTGAAAAACTGAATTTTGGGTTTTCATAGCTAGAAGCGTTAAGCCATTTTCATTATTATAATTTTATATGAATATAGAATGAATCTATGTATGAGTTTCCCTTTTTGAGTTGAAATACTAAATTAACTGATGTAATGATTTAATAATGTATACCTTTTGGTGTGAGTTCTTTTATTTATTTAAAGTAGAGGTCCTTGTTTTAAATCATTCAGAAGTTTGCTTTGGAACGATTGACACTTTACATGACGGAGCACACGCATGTACAGCAGCCCCTGTGTTTTCCTGTCCTTTCACAGTGACGTCCCCCTCCTATAAGAGATTTTATATATATATATGTATGTATGTGTGTGTTTTTGTTAAGAAAACTCTTTCCAAATGTGGTTCCATTGACATAAGGCCTATTCACAGTCTCAACAGCAAGTACACCAGCCTTAATTGTGTGTTACAGTGCTAGCGTTAATCTCAAATTGGTATTAAGGAAACAAAACAAAAAGGGACAGTAGCTATGTTTATTGTGGCCTCAGTGACACACAGTGCATTCTGCATGGATGGGAAGCCCGCCCATCCAGACGACCTGAAATAACCCTGATGCATGAGTCTCGGAAAAAATGTTTGCATGGCCTTACAAGACTCTGTAAATCTTTTGCTTATTTTTTTTTTTTTTTTTTTTTGGGATCAGTTTCTCTGAAGTTGTACCTTATTTTTGTATGTTTAAAAAAGATAAAAGGAAAAGGAGAATTATTGCCTTTGCATAACAATATCACACCCAAACAGAAAAATACAAAAAGAAAAAACGGTTTATAGTCTTTCAGCAATACCACTGTCAGTAAACTCTGTCATTTTTAGTCAGTTTATGGTAAAAGTCTTTATACAAGCTGAAACGCTATTGCCTCTTATATACCACAAATGTGTTGTGATGTATAGCCTGATAATACTTTATTTATCAATCGAAAGCCAAAGCACATTGAAATTCACCCAATGTCAAATCAATGCAGGTTTTCTATGGACACTTGTGCTTGTCCGGGCCATTTGTATGTATCTTTATGTTATTCTTAAAAATAAAAAAAAAATGATAAAAAAAATAAATAACACTAATATGAAATGTCCTACACATAATGTTGACCGTTTGGAGCTGTGGGTTTGATATGTACATAAAAGGGCCGGGAGGGTCTGACGGCTCTTAAATACGAGTTTCATTATTTATTTAATTCATATTTATTTGTATCCTGGCTTAGAAATGTTGTACTATGAATTATTTTCGCCGTTAGTGTTTCTTTGTTAGGAATGTGATGCTGAGACTTCAAAGCCGTTTCAGATGGATTTTTTTCGTTTTTTGTGCAACTATTTATTTGCTCATTAGCTGAGTTGCGTGCAAACTTATACTGTATCACCACTTTGCATCTGTATTATGTAGACTGTATCGACCGGTAGACTGCAGCTAAACTATACATCTCCCTGTTTAATCTTATAGCTTACAATTGATAAAGTAGTAGGAAACCACAGTAGATTACCTAAGCCTAGACTTGCATGTACTGTTGCAATGCATTTACTTAGCTAAGCTAGACAAAGCGTTTTTTGTATTTTTTATACATCATGTATGTTTTTTACTTGTCCCTTAATAAAAGTAATTTTTGTGAATTTTAGAGAGATGAATTTGTGAGTTTTCTTGTGTGTGTTTTTCTTTTTCTCTGACAGACACATTCCCATACAAGGTTTACTTAAGGAATTTAGGTGTTCCTGATGAACAATCGATGTCCCTTAGAGGTCTCCCAATTAAACTTGGCCAAAATTGTCTTTATTATTTAAGCGATATATCTAAACAAAATGGTGGGTATCAATATAGAAACTTGTGGTGGTTATTTTCTCAGCTAAACTACTGTAACACACATACAGTATCTAAAAAGCCCTGTATCATCTATAACTAACCAAAGTGCTCACATCACTCCGATTTTAATTTCTTTGCACTGATTACATGTTATCTTTTAGAATTCAGTTTAAAATGTGGCTAAAACTCAATTGATCCCTTACCTTAACCCCCAAACCCAAAAGATAACTTTCCCTCATCTGGATCAGTCAACTGGTCCCCACAAGTTCCCTGTAAGTACCCACAAAGTAGCATAATCCCTGGAAATTGGTCTTACACTGTCCCCACAAGGCAACAAAAACCTGGCCACACACACAGGAGAGAGGGTCATATTAGACAGAGTAGTACCTCCAAAAAAGTAAAAAACAAAAAACAATCAACTGGACTTTATTTCCAAATTTGAAGACGTTTTGCTTCCCATCCAGGAAGCTTTTTGAATGATTTCTTGTTCTACAAAGACCGTATTAAATTGGAGCATTGCTTTGTGACTCAGCACCTTCTTTCACTATAACAGATGTGAAAAATTTTCATCCATCCATCCATCCATTTCCTTCTTCATCTAATAGCAAATAAGTAAACAAGATATGCCAACAAAGACTTGTTCTTGGATTATCAATGGTTTGCATTATTTTCATTAAGATACCTTCCTTATTTCCAATAAAAAGACTTTTGGGTAATATAGATGATCTCATATCTAAATCTCCCAGCTGTGAACAATTCTTTGATCAACAGCATTACTAAAAAAATGTATTTATCATCTAATTTCTTCTATCTGAATTATCTGAACCAAATCCACATGCAGTAGAAAGTCTGTCAGTGACTGTGTTGCCCCCTGTGATGATTCCGGTTGTTCCCCTTCTCCCACTCAATAACCGTTAGGACTGATTTAGTAGGCAGATGACCACAGTTAATTTGATTTTTTTTCTACACAAAAAACAACAGCTAAAAAAAAAAAGAAGGAAAAAAACAGTTGAACTGATCATCGAAGACCCAGTAGTCTTGACCATGCCTTTCCAGCAGGGGGCAATAATGAGTCATAAACATCACGCACCAGGCTCTCACACACACACGAAGAAAGGCACCGGAATCCTGTGACAGGAAGTTTAAGTGTATTATTGTTTATTTCAGTGTGTTGTCAGATGTAGTTAACAGCCTTCACTGATCAGAGAAACGGTTGGTGCAGAGGTAAGTAAATTTATCTGTAGTCCGCCTCCTCCGACCACGACCAGGAACGATAATAATATCTTAGAAAACCATGTAAATGAAGAAATAGGGAGTGCGACCAACCACATCACAGCATCATGGGGCCACTGATTTAAATATGGGTGATTGTTTCTGCAGCTTTCTGTCACCATGGCGGAACCCACAGCCTCTGCAGTGTTCTGCAACAGGATGCTGAGCATGGTGAACTCCGAAGATGTGAACGCAATAATTCAGGCTCAGAGACACATGTAAGTACCTTTATGCAGGAGTTAGTGGTTTCATTATGTTGGTGTTTTACTACTGTAGGAGCTTTATTTCTTTGTAAATATAGTCTAGCTTTATATATCTAAGGGCTAAAGTCTGTTTTAATTAATACCAGTACAATAACTCAATCCCAGTCAAAACGAAGGGAGATTATCTTTGAATATCGACCTTAAAATCCTGCTGCTGATTCTCGTTTAAATAATTCTTATATACGGATGTGCTTTATATATATATATATATATATATATATATATATATATATATATATATATATATATATATATATATATATATATAAACTGTTTCCTCAGCTGTGAATTTAATATCCTTTCCAAGATGATGCATTCAATTTCAGTCAACTTCAGTGAAATCTGAGCGGCTTTCAATTTTAAGCTGAAGAGATGCACAGGAGGATGCTGCCACCACCGTGGTACATCATTGGGATTTTGGATTCAGGGTGAAATCCAGTGTTAGTTCTCTGCCAGACATTGGGCCTGATATGCAAAGATTCACAATAATAGGTGCTATATATATATATATATATATATATATATATATATATATATATATATATATATATATATATATATATATATATATATATATATATATATATATATATATATATATATATATATATATAATTTTTTTTTTTTTTTAAGATATGTGCAATAAGTGTGGATGCAGGTGATCTACAAAGATTGCTGCATAAATATTTGGATGTGCCAAACATTTTGGTTTGGTTGCCTTTTAAATGAACAGATTGTGTCTTCTACAGGCAGTTGAGATTTGTGTTAATAGAAGGATGAGGTTCTAAGCCATAAAGTTGGAGGTAGTAATGATAGAAAATAATTTAAAGAGACATTTATTAAAAAATATATTTAAAATATTTTTTTCTGTTTGACCCTTTACGACTAAAACATTAAGTAGAATGACACCTCAGTAGTTATACGCCCGTGAATGTTTAAGCCTGTAGCCTATTTTCCCTGAATGTATTTTGGGTCGGATGTTCCCTCACTGTTCTGCAGATATGGCATCCAGCACGTCCATGTTTTTATTTTTATTTTGCATAACTTTTCTCCAAACAGGCTGGACCGCTTTGAGAAAACCAATGAGATGCTGATCAACTTTAACGGACTGTCAAATGTGAGGCTGCAGCAGATGAATGAGCGTTTCTTGCTTCACACTCGCACCCTGGTGGACATGAAGAAAGACCTGGACAGCATCTTCAGGAGGATCAGGTAAGCTGTTGGTCTTGTTGTTCAGTCATATCTGCAGTGTCCAAAGCACAACTTCTCATTGTTGGATCTTTCTCTGGTTCTCCAGGACACTAAAAGGGAAGATTGCAAAGCAATACCCAGAAGCCTTTAGCAGTAAGTTAGCTGTTTCTTTTCATCCATTAATTTTCATTAACTTCTAGATGGCTTAAAATGGACAGTAAGAGCTTGAATGGGTAACTTTTTTTTTCTAAAATGCTTTAAAAAACTATTCATCCCTAGAAGTCTTTTTTTTTTTTTACAGTCATAAATCAAGGAACAAAGACGTCACATTCAAGAAAAAGTTGTTGACTAACCCTCCATTTTTCTTATGTATAAGAATAAAGGAGGGTTAGTGTATGAAAGCAAAGTTCTGAATTGTAAATATCTGTTAGAAGTTTACAATTCTTCTGTCCCTGTATGGTGCTCAGGTGAATTTCTCCATTAATCCCGATGACCATAACCTTCTACTCCTCATGTGATCTGTTCAGCTTTAGAAAAACCTCGCAGCTTGGACGGCAAAGTTCACTTTCACAGGAACTTTGGCCCAGTAACCTGATTCAAGAAAAAATTAAAAAATTATATATCTTTTTATATCAGTGTTACAGCACAAAAACATGTAACACATATATATCTCAGTGTTGAAGAAAACATTGCCTGCAGATCACCACACTGCTGAAAGTTGCAGATGCTCATCTTAGACTGACAGGGAAGCTTGTGAGAATTGAAGCTAAATACAGTATTTAAGGCCTTGGTATGGAGGACTGGGCTGGAGGTTGACCTTCCAGCATAACAATGACTAAAAGCATGAAACTTAGAGCTATAACGAAATGGTCCAGATCAAAGCATATTCATGTGTTAGACTGATTGCAGTTAAAGGTCTGACCTAGGTTCTAGTAAGAATCTAAAGTATTTCCTTTACAATTCTGTTCAGATGCTCTCTGTCCAATCTGACTGAGTTTAAGCTGTTTGAAAAAGTTTTCGGTCTCTGGATATCTAAGCTGGTAGTCCTTTCTCAAAAGACCTGCAGCTCTAATTCCAATAAATAGTGATTGTAAACTGTTTATTTAAAGGTTTTAATACAAATGTCTGCTACACTACAAATAATGAAAAAGGTGTGCATCATATTCCTTACACTGGCTCATAATGTGGCTTTGTATTTGTCTGTCACATAAAATCTCAATAAAATAGATAAAAATGTGTTTTTGTACTGTGAAAAAAGTAATACTGGTTATATTTCATCAGATTAGACATTGTTGCAGCTCAGATTTTTTTTTTTTTTCATGACAGACATACATGAGTCGCCCATCTTGGAGGACGAAGATGAGGAATTTGACCCGATGCTTCCCAGCGTTGCTACGACAACCACCACAGCCACATCAGAGCAGAGCACAGAATCCTGCGACACAAGCCCCGATGTGATCTCGCCCACCGTCAGTAGATGCTCTGAAGATCTGTCGCAGGAGCGAGCAGACACGCCGACCTCTGACGTCCTGGAGACGGCCGTGCTGCGTGATGAGGGGCCCGATTCTGTGGCTGCGGAGTAGAACGAAAGGTTTTCACTTCAAACAGAGAGTCAGCCATAAACCTGCTTCGGCTGCAGGTACTTGTGCGTTCGTGTGATCGTCAGCTTCTGTCAGACTCCATACTGGATGTTAGAAGCAACTCTGAGGAATTGGAGTTTTTTTTTTTTGGCATGCTTACACATCTCGGTTACAAAATCTTACCAAAGAAATACTTGAAGTCATAGAGTATGTCAGTGTAGATAGATATATCAGTCGTAAGAGTGAATTTGTTTTTATTGTTTAATCTTGATTTTGTTTGAAAAGACACAAGACTAACTGAAGAAAAAGTTATATTAATGGAATTGTTATTAAAATGCACAATGTTCCTCTCACCCTAATTATAAGAAAATGAGTTTCAATAAATAACTGCCTGTCTCATTTAAAGTTATTCTGCATCGCTGATTGCCTTTTGCTCTGGTTCATCTCACTAAAATGTTTCGTATATATATATTTTTTTTTACTTAAATGTGTTAAATGTGTCATTTAAGAAAAAAGATTACGTTTTTTTGTTTTCACCATCAAAGCTCAGGTTTTAAGTCTGTCTTTCATTGAATTTGATCAATATATGCTATCGACTAGATATATAAATGAATAATAGATTATTTAAATGGTAATACCATTTTTCTACTGTCTTTAATTAATATAAAAGATGGTGGCCAATTTATTTTATCTTTTTTAATTAAACCCTTTTTTCATTTCAAAAGATCGAGTGTGAACAAACTGAGAAACAAAGTGCATGATTTAATGTTAGAGTAATAAAAAAAGAAGTTACTATAATGTAAATAATGTATGGATATATAATGTAGCTATATAATGGGGATGAAAAATCTGAATTTTGATTTTTTTCTCATACTGAAATAACATTTAAAAATCTGTTAACTTTTTTTATTTTTTTTTTCAGTGGCCCTAATCCTCTTCTGTAAATAAACAATGCTGTTTTTTTTCTTTTTTATTTCCTCAATACAACTTTATTTGTTTCTGCAAAGAACATTACAGAGCAACCATATTGCACTATAGGTATTCTCAACAACCATTTTCTACAGACATTTTCAACAAGTGTAAATTCAGATGTTTGCCAGTCAAGTAAATGTCCTCGTTTTGCGCAAAATAATAAACAGTAAGCAAGAAAGACAAGAAAAAAGAAATAAAATAAAACCTTACATCTATTAAAAAAAAATTTAACGCTATATATGCTGGTTGAAAAGTAAAACTTGCACCCGCTCTAGCATTTAAGTAATAACACCAAATGACCACTAGAGGGCGCCGATATTAAGTCGAATCGGTTCTGATCTGAATGGAGAAGAAGACAGCAGCGAATCATCTTCTCCCAGGTAACTTCCTTGGTGTGTTGTGTTTCCTGATTATTACAATACATCTCATTACTCAAATATACGTTTTTAAAATAATTGTTTTACGTCATAAAGACACTAGGCAGTCACTTTTGAAACAGTTCGCGTGACGTGAACGTTTAGCTTGGTAGTTGTCATGAAAAGTGTCGCCAATCACTGTTAATATTTATATAGCTAGCAGCCTGCAGCTATCCACTTATGTGAGGACTTCATATTCCCGCTGCTGGTCTCAAACATGAGGAGAATATCCAGGAAAAAGGCTCTGACTCTGGTGAAAGAACTGGATGCTTTCCCAAAAGTGCCGGAGAGCTACGTGGAGACAACTGCCAGTGGGGGGACAGGTACTAGCTAACATACAGGCTAATATACAGGCTGCGATAGCTGGTTTATTAACCGCACATCTCTGTGGAATATCTCAGTGTCTCTGGTAGCTTTCTCTCTCATGGCTGTCCTCGCCTTCCTGGAGTTCTTTGTGTACAGAAATACATGGATGAACTATGAATACGAAGTGGATAAAGACTTTACCAGGTTAAAAAACAAGCAACCAAATCTCTGCTGTTACAGTATGTGCAAATGTCCTCACCTGTGATGTTCCTCATTTACAGCAAACTCAGGATAAACGTGGACATCACTGTCGCCATGCGATGCCAGTGTAAGTTCCCAATGATAGTTATGTTTTTTGGGTTGTTTTTTTGACGGTAACTAAGGATTCTTAAAGACATTTTTTCCTTAATATTATTGATTAATTATTGATGGTTTATGAAACTACTTATAATGGAAATTATATATGAAGCTATTGGATTCATCCCTTGGTGATTTGAAGGGATTTGCTTTCATCTTCAAGTAGTCGACTTTTAAAAAAATGAGATTATTTACTCCAATAAATACTTACTGTAAATAAGGTGTAAAAGGTATTCATTACAAAATATACTGTATGCTGTAACATACTCATTTTGATTTAGAAAAATCAATAAAAAAAAAACAAGTAATACAATGTAAAATATCAGCCTTTGAACAATATATTTGGAAAAATATCTATATATGCCAATGATCCTGAACTGCAAAGAGAAATTCAATGCTATGCAATTGAATTCATTGGTATAAAATGTTTTTTGTTTTTATTAAGGGGTACAAAATCAGAGTGGATTTTGTTGTAATGTGTGGGAATGAATTTTTGAAGAGCCCTATCATTTGCTTTGGTGCCAAGTTTACAGAATTAGAAAGGGATCAAACGTCAAGTCGTTTTTGCAAATTCTGCTTGAGAAATTAAATTACTTTCTAAAAATAGCTCTAAACAATGTAGGGGTAGAGGAAAAAAAACTAAAGAATATTTAATTTCATATATTTGTGTCACTTTGATTACATATTTTGTATGCAGTTTGATTTGTTAATGTTTATAAAGAAAAAAATATATAATCATTGTCTGCAAAGTAGAGTTTCTCATCAAAACATTAGCAAAATATCAAATAAGATTTTTATGTTATGATAATGAAAATACTATTAACACTTTTATTAAGAAGATGAATTAATCAAATATAGATTTCCAAAGCTAGAAATGTATGTTGTGTTCTTATATGGGTTGTGTCTTCCTTGTACCATTCAGATATAGGAGCAGATGTCCTGGATCTGGCAGAGACCATGGTTGCTTCTGATGGTTTAGAATATGAACCAGTGAGTTGGAGCTTTTTTCTTAACTATTCTTTTGTTTTTACATTGTAATGGTATTTCTTCCCTCTGTGACTATCTGATGGATGTTTATTCTTTTTTTTTCACATTACAGGTCAAGTTTGAACTCCCACCGGAGCGAAAACTGTGGCACATGTAAGTGCAGTAAAAAAAACAAAAACAAAAAAAAAACTGTAATTTCTGCTTCTTTCAAGTAGAATCCAACATTTAAAAAAATATATATATATAAAATTATATCAGTTGCATTCACAAGCAAAACAACCCAGTGCAATAGAAAACTCACAAATAAAGCAATTTTGATATTTGGACAAAAAAGTTAAAGGTTTCACATTTTAAAAAAAATCCCACATTAAAGAATTTGCATTAAGTCTGTGGTTTCCAATACCTTATTTGAAGGATTTGGAGCAGTACAGATTTAAGTTAGCCAACATGCTACAAAAAAAAAAAAAAACTAAAACAAAAGTGTATTGAGCGCAGTGGTTTGATTATTTGTGCAATCTTCAATAAAAAGGCTGCTATTAATGCAGCTTCCAAGTTAAGGCTATATTTAATCGTCCGTAATGTTATTAACAGTGGGAAGGTATTAATCATTCTATCTGAAAGTTTTTGGGTTAATATCAGCTTCTACTGTCATGTGTTGAAGTGCTGTGGAGCAACACACCTAATCCCAAGCTGCCTATCTCCTTATCTATGTATGAAAGATTCTGAAACGGAGAGTGTGACTTATGTCAGACGCTTCGAGTGGTTGGTCTGACAAGCATGACCTAAAATCAGTCTATGTGTTTACCATTGTCATGTTTTCTCTGCTAGGACTCTTCTTCACCTCCAGGAGCGTCTCAGAGTGGAGCACTCTCTGCAGAACTTGCTCTTCAAGTCTGCAATGAAAGGACCTCCTCCTGCTCCGACTCAGAGGTGAACACTTAAGTTGATCTCTTGTGTTTGGTAAGAACACACCGATGAAGCTAACTATTTGATTCTTTTTATTTGGACTTTCCTTCTTCAGTGACGAGAGCTCCAGTTCACGCAGTGCGTGCAGGATACATGGACACCTGTACGTTAACAAAGTGGCGGGGAATTTCCACATAACTATTGGCAAGTATGTACCTAACACTGTTCCGTAAAAATTCAAAAAATATCCACTGGACTTGGTTTTCAAGATTTGAAGACGTTTCGCCACCTCTTCAGGAAGCTTTCTCAATTCAACACTGTCTTTCCTGTCCTAAAATGTAGACCAAATATTATTTCCACATTGGTTTCTATTGTCCAAATGTACTATATTCAGTTTCTAATTTAACTTCGAGGACTTAAGGAGCCATTTCTCTGACAGTAACCTAACTCCCTTTTTGTTAGGGATAATGCTATAATGTTAGTTGTATTTGCACTCAGTGTGGACCAACATAATCCAATGTGCTCCTGACCAGTCAGTTCGGACACCTTAACTTATCAAGTTGTGGCTCTGGTAATTTGCTTCCACATTTTGAACCCAGCTAATATTATTCTTTTTTTTCTCCAATGCATATCCATTTTATTTTTGTTATCAATCGAGTTTCAGCTTTGGAATATTTGTTAACTTATATTGGTAGTTAGTTGTATTTATTCAATTATGGGCATGATCATAAAGCCTTAAGTATAAATTACAGTTTTTTTTATTGTAAATGTAATTTTTGAAATATTTCCTGTTGAAGCTTGTTTTCTCTAATTGTGGTTCTTTTCCCATTTGGGCTAGAGGACTTCAAACAAAATTAGATCAAGCCAAAATTTATCTGAGTTACATCCACCTGTTAGTTGAGTTTTTTTAAATCCACAAAACCTGCATATCTATGAAAAGATGAAAGTCTAGAATGATCAAGCCCTTAATAGAGCAGAACTCTCTCCTCTAGACTGAACCGAACGTGTCATTTCTCCACAGGTCCATACCTCACCCCAGAGGGCATGCCCACCTCGCTGCACTAGTCAGCCATGACTGTGAGATTTTCTGATTTAATGAAGAACTGTCTCATATTATGCCCGCTATAGTAACTGTATTCACTTCATTGGGTTGTTTTGGTTTGTTGTTTTCCAGCTTACAACTTCTCTCATCGAATTGACCATTTATCATTTGGAGAAGAGATCCCTGGACTGATCAACGCTCTGGATGGCACAGAAAAGATCACTACTGATGGTGCCTATGTACATTCTCACTAACAGTTTGTCTTTTATTTTTATTTCCTCCGCAGAACTTAGCTACTCTTTTCATTCTAACCTGCACTGGGGATTCACCAATTATAACTTTGTCAAACAAAAATATGTATTAAAAGAATATTAATTTAGAATTTATAACTAATGAAAACAAGCAAGTAACGGTTGCTTCATGCTTATATTTTATACTTAGATCTGCAGCTTTATGCTGTGAAAGGGGAATGGCTGCTCTCTGCAAAAAACTTTTGGAACAAACTTAATTTTAAAAGACACGCCAACCCAAACGCTACTTCCTTTAGATAGTCTATTTCTGTGATCCACATGTGCAATCAAATAAAATGTTCTGACATGATTTGAAGGGGTGAAAAAAGCAGCAGTATTATGTCCCTAAATCACCTCTGGAGGTAGTAATAAACTCTTACTGCCTCTTAAGGTTCTGCTGAGATTTCCAGAAGACTGTTTCCAAACTCAGAATGTTTAATGAGAAACAGGCTTAAAGCTCAGTTGGATATAATAGAGCAACACTGCTGCTTAAAGCCTCTTTCCTTCAGCTTGTAGTAGCCGCCTTCTGACCAGAGTGTTATACGTTTTACCCTGTAGACCTAAATACTTTGTCCGCACTAGATTGATAGTCTTTTGGGATTTCCAAATAAGCTGTGAAGAGTTGGCTGATTTTGGTCAGTAAGGGTATTCTCTTCTGAAGCTTTCCATCCCAGCTCCTTTTTGTAGATAAACACTTCACAATGGATCAAAAACGCTGAGCAGTTAAACTCAAGCAAAAACTGTTTTTACAAAACCACCTTCTCTCTTTAGCATGAGAAAGCATCAGTCATCTCGCTGCTCTCTCTGGCTGATTTTTGTCTCTAAAATCCATAGTTTGATCATTTAGTAACTTTAACTACTGGAACCTATCAGTGACTGTCAGAAAGGACATGTTCTTCAAACTGTTAAACCTTTGATCTGCTCTCAGTTCCCGCTGTGGAAACAGTTTTATACATCTTTACATTTACTAATCCTCTGACATTTTTATCAGCTTTTACATAAAAACATTTTTCCTGTCTCTAGCAAACCACATGTTCCAGTACTTCATCACCATTGTGCCCACCAAGCTAAACACTTACAAAGTGTCTGCAGAAACGCATCAGTATTCTGTCTCAGAGCGGGTACGTTCAAAGGTTTTCCTCTAACTAGCCTAATGGTCGACTGTTTCTGTGGTTAACGTGTGATATTCCTGTAGGAGCGAGTCATAAACCACGCTGCAGGCAGCCACGGAGTCTCAGGGATCTTCATGAAATACGACATCAGCTCACTGATGGTCAAAGTCACCGAGCAGCATATGCCTCTCTGGCAGTTTCTCGTCAGACTCTGTGGAATCATTGGAGGCATTTTTTCTACAACGGGTAGATGAGAGTATTTCTAAATTTTTTTACATTTTATTTTGGTGTAGGATCCTGCTTAAATAATCATTGACCTTTTCATTGTATTGTGCAGCTATTTTTTCTAGAGCCCGAGAACATCCAAACTGTAAACTGATGGAGATGTGGAAGTTTATCCTCAACCAAAATTATATATATATCTATATATGCAATATGCAATAATCTGGTTCTGCACACCAGAAAGATATCTGCTGTTCTGTTATAAAAGGGCAGGGCTCAAAGAACACCACTTTCTTATATGGTCTAACTTTCCTTCCATTTCTTTTTTTGATTTTACTTTTCTACTACTGATTTTGAGTTGAGCTGAATCTGACAGGATTAAAATAAAAATTAATTACGCAATATTCAGCCTTGCCTACATGCCAGTAAAATAAATCTACTCATCCATGATCAGCTAATCCAAGTGGTGCTGAAATGACAACATTTGGGTTTGGTGATCCATCACCAACAGCTTCATGAGATGTTTTGGAAGCTGTTTAAAAGGTGTTAAAATTGGCTTGGGAGGAAGCAGTCAACTGATAAGCCAAAAAAAAAAGAGATTTCTTTTTTTTTTTTTTTTAGCTCTCTGAAGTATCTAAATAAGAAAATGTCTTATTTTTTTTATTTTGTTGTATTATAATAGTTTTCATCTTTCCTTTTTTGTTGTGCAGCACGTATGGTCAGCAAGTGTGTTTTTTTTAAGTTCCATATAAATAAGCACATATGGTATATGCTTTAAAGGAAACTAATTCTTACAATTTACAATACTTAATGTAGATTTATAGCTGAAACCTTAAGATTTGTAAGTGATGAAACATTTGAGTCTTCTGCTCTTTTCTATAATATGGTCCAAAAATTAAATTTTTAAGCCCATTCTACATTCAATACTTGCCCTAGAGAAAAGCTAACATTTTTATTAGTTGCAATAATGAATTTGATGTTTTATTAAATGGAAGATTTATCCACCACCGTCTGGTAGTCCATCACATCTTCAATTTAATTCAGTATTTCAGTTGTAAATTAAAATCTTATAAATAGTTCTATTCTTTTTTTATTTGAAGTTAGCAATTAACAGTATTGGAGTTTGTAATGAACTCTCAGTTTTGGAGAATTATGTTTATCCTACATGTGTTTTTAAAGACTGTAATAAACTCTTCATTTTGATTTTCTTTTACCAGTTAAAACAGTATGTAAGAATTTTAATCATACAAATGGCTAAAAGAAAAAAAGGCAAGGATGGTGAAGTTTTTCTTTCCAGGTGTAATGAATTTGGGAACATGATAATCATATAATTCAACTGATTTGTGACTGTATACAACCTTTTTCCATAAATTATGTTAAAAACCTGGCTTCATTTAATATTAATACGTTTTTGAATTGATTCTGCTCAACGGCCTTCATCACATAAAAGAAAAGCCTTACATATTTAACAACCAGGCTGCTGTGATCCTGTTTTATCCCTCTGGTCTTATGAACACCAGAGTTTAAGTTGAATCTGTCCTTCCTGCAGGCATGATCCATGGAATTGTGGGATACCTGGTTGATGTGGTTTGCTGTCGTTTCCAAATGGGGATCTACAGACGTACACATGTAAGACATGACTTTCTTATGTCCTTTTTGAAACTCCCTCCTGGTTATTAATCCTTTTTTTACTTTCTGAATGTTTTGTCTCCACCCCCATCTGAAGGCTCCTCTGAACGGACAAGGAGACGGTCAAATTTTCGGTCCTACAGAAAGTTACACTGAGCAATGACAGGAAAGCTCTCCCTCTGAGCCAGGAGCGACAATAATATGCTGGGTTTACATTTGTTTGAAACTTGGACCTTTTTGTAATTTCCCTTTTTGCTGGAACTTTCTTTTTACCGTTAGCGTACCAAAATCGGATTCAGTCAGTCATGCACTTGTTAATTATTACCTCCAATAAATATAAAGAAAACTGAAGGTTTGCAATAGACAAAGCATATTGGCCCAGTTCTTGTTTAGCTTTTTACTAATTTGTTTTTTTAAAGAGCAATGAAACTATTTTACATTAGTTGAAACATTTTTCTGAGCTTAGGGAAGTTTTTATGTTTAAACACCTGTATGGATGTGACGTGCCTTTTTAAGGGGTATTATTATAGGAAAGGGGTTGTGTTATATTAGATAATGTGTGAATAGAAATTGACTTTCAAACTACAACAATACTCTATGTTGGTTGAAAATTGTGTAGCCTAATGTTGCAAGGATTTATTTATTGATGGATTATTTGTGAAATCCCATTGGAGATCGAACATGTGCCCTTTTTCTGTAAAAAAACAGAATCTCAATAAGTTGTTTTTTCTTAAAATAAGTGCATTTTTTCTTGAATTAAGGAGGTGAGTGAGACACTTAGCCAATAGAACAAGATGATTTACATTTAAAACATGAAAAACAATTGCAATGTCTTATTTCAAGTGCATATTATCTAATTATCTTATTTAAAAAAAAATACCCATTCCATTGGCAGATCATCCTATTTACATACTAAAATTAACGGTAAATGCACTTAATTAATTAAACGTTTACTTATTTCTAGATACATTTTTTTGCAGTGTAGTTGGTCATTTGCAGGTCTGCAGTGCCAAATTTTCTCAATATGCCCCTCTTCCCACAAAGGCTTTGCAGTGTCATGTCTGCAGTCATAAAACCTTAGCTCATCACATGCTGAGTGGGAACAAGGTGACGGTGGAACGTGTGTAGTTGGTTAAATAACACTGGAGAACCTTTTTTTTTTTTTTTTTTTTTACGGGGTAAACATTGAAGTAAAACTTTAAAGACAGTTTTAATGGTTTGTGATTCACTCTTTCTACATTGTATTGTGTTTGAATTGTGAGAATGGTGAAAATTTACCTCAGGGTTCATGCTTGGGCATAAAAGCAAAGTTCATTAGATAAAGTTTAGGAACTATACCGGATTCTGCACAAAATGAAGCAAAGCTGTGACTCCAACTGGTTTTCTCTTAATAGAAACACTGCTGCTCTCCTACATTCACAAGACTAATTATATGGGGCTTCAATGTCGTGCATAATCCTCCACAGCTTCACCTATCTGACAGACAAAGATAAAATCTCAGTAATAAAAGCAGAAAGTTAAGCACAATAAAAGAAAAAAATATATATTTAAAAGTTATTTTTCTATCTAGAATAGCAGCATACTTGAATCCAAATCTAGTCCAAGGTGGTCCTTCAAAGTTCTCCACCACGAGTGAAAGTATTGCTGCCTTCCTCGGAGCCCCGATAGCCAAACCTTTCTGTTTACATACCTTGTCTTACAGGTTCCCCCTTTTTCCATTAGCAGAGAAAAGTCATCCAATCAACTAATCAATTATAATTATTAAATTACCTCTTTAAACTCATATGTTGTTCTTAAAAGCATTTTTCTTAACAAGACAAAACAATCAGATGTAGTTCCTTTAAATTACATGGTTAAAATAGGGTACAGATGTATCAGTTTGGATATACAATTTTGATGACGATTCTTTAAGCAAGAGTCTCCAATGAAGTCTGTTTTACACCATGTCAAGAGTTTATTTGACAGTATTTCAGAATATCTTTCAGTAAACAAGTTTTTTTTTTTTTAGCAAAATGTAATATATCAGTACTGTCGCATTTCATAAAAATAGTTGTTCACGTCTTTGAAACTACAGTATCAATGATACAGTAAACCATATTTGTAGGAATACAGCTGTACAAGGTGAATATTACACAATTAACACTACACAATTATACTGGATCTCAATGGGGGGGGGGGGGGGGGGTATGAACGTGCCATCCTTCACAGGTTCAATAAGCAGTTTTATTTTTCTTTTGTGTACGAATCCAGTCACAGCAGGCAGAGGGTGACGGCCTGGATGGATGCAGAGGGCTGGATGACATGTTCTCCGAGTTCTTCTAATACACACAGAAAACACATTTTCTACCGCCTAAGTGACACGTTTGTCATGCTCCACGCTAACGTGCACTAAAAGAAACCCCAGTGTTCTGTTAGCGTGGAACCATCCAGACCGGCTTTTACTGTGAGATGAGCATCAGTCCCAGCGATCCTTAGTGCACAAAATCCAACTAATAATCCCCAGACTGCAGATAGCTTCTCAAAGAGCACATTTCCACCAGACTGCAAATACAGTGTGGGTTTGCCATCATGCTGTGTTTAAATTGTTCTGTGGTACTAAAAAGCTCCAGTGGTTCATTTCTAATAATCTTGCTAAGAGAAACAAATGACATCCGAATGGAAACCACGGGAGAAAACTGACATCTCCCTTGAGCGACTCAGTTGAACAGCAGCATGCCTTAACCTCTGCCGAACCCAACATTTGGTTATTAAACAAATACGTGTTTGCGGAATCATTTGAAATCTTGTTGACATGGGCCTGCAACAATAATGCAAACCTTAACATCTCCTTACAGAACAAACAAAAATGAGACTGGGGTAACTGTGATCCGCTCTGATGTTAAGCACGTCTTGATAAAGAGTTGGGCATTACTTCAAGGAGAGGATGTGATGCTACAGGCTACATTTTGCTCCCAATCTCCAACACTCTGGGGACAATTGCAATAATTGACGGGGCCTATCTTTACAGCATTAGAGTGCATCCAGATAGATACTGGTTGGCGTTAATGTCTGAAGCAAAAATAGGCTCCAGATCTCCGCAGTGATCAAAGAGTTCCCCCAAAAACAAATCCCGGCTCTGCATTATTTTGAGTAAGGCACTCTGCCTCACCTTATAACCATTGACCTCCTCCTCCCCTCTCCCACAGTGATGTGGTACACTTAGCACAGTTAAAAGGCATAGAAATAGGAGACTGGACGAAGTTTTCCTTTCGGGCGTTGAATGACAACACACCTTTATAACTGCACAATGACTGCATGGTCGAAGTGTGATCAGGCCCACAACTCAGAAGTAGCAGGAGTTCTTACTAAGCCAAACGTTCTCAGTTATTTGAAAATGGTAGATTAAAAAGATCCCATCTTCCACGAATCCCATTCAGCTCCAGAGATGAGCTCCTCTTCAGAAAGACTGACGTCTTAAATCCATGCACGCAAACACCGCCTCCCTCTGCGGTTTGGTGACAGTCTTTGATATGTCGATATGGACAAGGCCATGGAAACAGTGCTCCTAAAATACTGTCCCACGATACTTATCTCACCGTTTGTTTGTTGTTGTTTTTTTTTTGTACAAGAATCTAACTACAACACTGTCTCAAAAACACCAACAGGTCTGCTTTTGAGTATACCAAATGTACATAATTTTCACATCTTCTTTACATTTACAGTATATATTTGTAGGCATGTAACATATGGATCAAGAGCCTCAGCTTCACTACCTCTACATGACTCAAAAATGTTTAAATCTCATCTTCACAGAGAGATGGAGAAAAATAGATCCTCGGGGCTTATGGTCAGCAGGGAAAGTAAATATTGAACACTGACAAAAAAGAAAAAAAAACATATACACACATAAATACATATATATATATATATATATATATATATATATATATATATATATATATATATCATAATCCTGCAAAATACCAGTAACAATCCAATTATGTGTAAGTACCATCACACTAATTAGTGCATAGAGTAGAATATGTGTAATAAGGTGGGGAGATAAGGAAAAAAGGGGTTTAATCTGTCAGTTTCTTTTTTTTAAATAGACGCTGCTCCCATACAAGGTTTAAGCTGGTATAAGCTGGGTTAGTCCTAACATAGTCTAGACTATAGTTCTTTGTTAAAAAGGTACAGCACAAAAGCATCTGCAAAGATCTTTCTGCACTTTTACAAACTTATTGCTGCGAAAGTATCTGACAGCATTAATTACAAACGGTACTTCTGATTGTTCCAGTTCGTATCATTGAAGCAATTTTCAAAATAAAAGAACCTAATTTCTAGGCATGCCCCCTCTGTATATTGGAAATCAATTTGATTTCAGCCAAAAACCTGACAATTGGAATATATATTTCAGCCTTCATCTCAAATCTCTGAAATAAGGAGTTCGATAGAAACACTCAACTTGTGTTTATGGCTTAATTACCCTTTGGTTCAATTTAAAGGGGTTAGTTGTTCTTATGCCTGTTGTTGACTAGCGTTCTCCATTTGAATTATTTAACTTAAGTTTCTTCTAACATTTCACCCAACAAAATAAGCAACAAACGTATGTTATATTCCTGCTGATATTGTATCGGTTCAATAGCAGCACCAGTCAATACTCAAAGCTCAAATATCAGTATTGAATCGGAAACGGAAAAAGTAAGTTTGTGCAAAATCAAAAAAAATTCAAAGAGAACTTAGAAAATACCTTGTTTTTATGAGAGGATTATTGTCCTTAATGTCAATGATCTTAGGAAAGTTGCATGCAGAATACTAAGCTAATTAATAAAAGCTTGCTACACAACATCTAAATTAGCAAACTAAATACTGGTGGGAAACAGCCTGGTCTTCTGTTTGCATGTCGTCCCAATTTGCATTATAGCAAGTTAAATTGAAGTTTGGAGGTAGAAACATCATAGCATGTGACACTTGCACGCCTTTATATAACTGAGGGAAGGATGACTACTTAAACATAGCAGGAAATTCATGGATCAAACACTGATTGCAGACACGTCAAAGGAAACTGTAAGCTAATATAAAAGAAATAAAGGTCCTATAAAGGCCCAGTCAGTCATCTGATTTGAAGGCAACTGAAAATGTATGGAAAGAACTGAATAGCAGAGCATAAAAGAGGCCTCTCTGAAATAAGTTATGTTCTCAAGATGTCATTAACACAATTTTAAGAACCATGATCAGACTTATTTCCTGTGCATTTCACTTTTTTACATACAACTTATATATTCCTCTCTGTTGATTCTTTTATATTTATTGTTAAGCTTATCTGGTTTGAATGAGAAATATGCTTACTATATTAAAATGCCAATGTGTTCACTACTAACTTTCCCTGCTGTATACCTTCAGTTGAGTTGGTAAAGGTATGAGGCTCATCACTTCAATATGTGATTTGATTGGGTGTAAGTGTCCTCCATCAGGTTTTAAAGTTTCTTCAGTCCTTAAGGTAGTGGGTGTAATAATCTTCTTGTTTGAATAAAAATACATGTATAAACAGACTTCATAAAGAGGTGGGGAGGAAATCAGGATGGTGAGGTTAGAGGAGTATGGATTCCTGGTGAAGGAAACTGAATACGGAGCGAAACACTGTGAGGATCCATTCTACCTGCTCACCGTGGAGGTCCAGGACCTCAGGGTGCCAGGCAGCTTGTCAGGCCCAGGGATTTTCCAGGGCCCCGGGGAGGCGGCTGCGCTCCTGGCTGGAGGACCTTCGATGGTTTTAGAAGGGCAGCAAACCCTACTGAGGCCACTGGCATTCTCATCTTCTCTGGGAGGCAGATTCCTGGACATCAGCCTTTCCTGGAGGCTGACAGGTCCGTCTCCTCCTCCCAGAGAGGCTCCGTTCAGATTCACTGTGACATATGGGTCCCAAGGTGAAACGATGCCTGCTGCATGTGTTTGTCTGCCCTTCCTCTCACTACAAGGCGAGCAGCTCTCTTGCCTCTCAATAGACCTTCCCACCACAGCTTTGTGAGACAAAGCCCGCGGCGGCTTATCTCCATGTGCACGGTTCACCTCTCCAGACCCCTGAAGGGCTCCCTGCCCCATGTTGACACACTTCTGCTCAGTGGACCTGCCACCTATTGCCCTTCTGATGGAGCTGTGGTCTGTCAGCAGTGGAGCTTTTTCTGCCAT